CAACAGGACAAAGCAACATGGGGGGGGGGGCTTTTTTTCAATCTAAAGGGGCAGTTCAGGCACTCAGCATAAAGGAAGTAAAAGGTGATTTTATTGGCTAGACTAATAATGGGAAATTGTCAACAGGAGCAACGTGTGGAATAAAAAAGAGTACAACTTAGAGAAGCAAATATGGCAGCAGGGAAGAAAAAACATGGAGCTTGACCGTGACCACATCACAAGTTACAATAATTACCACCTTTAATAACATTATTATGGCTAATGGTGTATTATACAAACATATGCCTTATGTTGTGTGTGTATGTATGTATATATATATTTATATATATGTATATATATATATATATTTATACATATACACAGTATATATGCATATGGCATAGTTACATTGATGTGCACTGTCAGTGGTCTGTGCTAGGGGTATATATATATACTGTGTATATATATATACACAGTAAACTCCCCATTATCCGGAATCCACAGGGATTGGTAGATTCCGGATAAATGTAGTTTCTGTTTACTTGAGAGTCACTATTAAAAATAGGTCTAACTAGTGCCATACCCCATACAATACCCTATCATAAACTCTGTATTGACTTCATATTAATATTGAAATGCAGTAATCAAAACATTAATTAAGACAAATAGACACACAATCATTTCCAGGATAATCCATGACGCCGATCAGCAGAGCAAAGAGTTCACAGGGGATTTTTTTTTTTCCTGGTTAGTTGAGAGTTCTGGTTAGTTGAATACCAGATAACTGAGAGTTTACGAGAGAGAGAGAGAGAGAGAGAGAGAGAGAGAGATTCTTCCTCAGTAGATAAAGAGAGAAAGAAGAAATACTATTATGAATTGTCCTTTAATTGAATGAATTCTTCAGTGAACGAGCAACACTTTCCATTCACCCTGAGTAACCTTTTAGGATCCTTTACGTAGATGAAAAGCCTTATTTGATGACACTTGATGACAGCTCGAATGTTCAATACTTTAAATGTTTTTTTATATATATAACATTCTAAGTGAGAATATTCAATACAGTATAGAAAATTATATATAAAACAGAGAAAACATATCTATGTTGATAATTTTTTCTATAGAGCTCGTGGTCATTATCCAACATACGAAAGATTAATGTATATCTCATGGAAAATGCTTAATATTCTATATGATATTACAAATCCTGTATAATATAGAAAATGTGAATGTATATGGATAATATTGTCATAGAGCTCTTGCTCAGTAGCAAACATCCCAAAGATTACATATAAAATGGAATAAAGTTTTTTTGACTGATAATGGGACTTTAATGGGACTTTTCGATGGCATGTTCATCTCCAACAATACATATATAACCAACTTTCCTCAATATGTATGGTTGGAGATGAACAAACCATTCAGATATTGTGGTTCTATGTCTCTACACATATTTGTCTTTTAAGATATCAATGTGTGTTAAAATATTTGAAATAAAAATTGCAAATTATTTCAA